TCAGCCTGTACCCCAGTTCTTGTATGCATAAATAAATAAATCCTTAAAAAAACAATAAGACTAATTTTAGACTTATCAAAAAAAATTTTCAAAAAGCAGAAACCCTTGTCAATCCCACAAGAAGCTCTCCTATAGAGAAGAGCCTTCCCATTAGCTTCTTGAAGCTTGGGACCAGGTTTAAGCTGCACTAGCACTAGCTACTGTTTTTTTCAAGTGAATTAAAATCGTGATCAACCCAACTTTATTTTTCATTACAGTTCCCACACAAAGGAAATTTTCCCTTTCAGCTTACAAACAAGTTATATATTGCAATATTAGTGGTATACTTTAAAAGCAACAACTCCATCAGTGTTAGGAGAATTCTTCCTGCATTCTAGAATCAACTCATAATTTGACTCTTTTCCAGTTATTCTGCTTGCTTTGTGTTTTTCATGAACATTTATTTTCAGCTTGTAAGTCATGTATTCTAACATGTTTTCAAAGTTTTCCATTTTCCAAATATAATATGTAGTATTTGAAAATAAATTTTTAGTTTTTATTTCAGTGATTATATAATCATATCAACAAAAGTAATTACTCTTATATATTCTTTTTTTTTTTAAGATTTATTTATTTATTTATTTATAGAGGCATGTTTTATTTATTTGCTTGTTTGTTTTGTTTATACATGCACTGGGTACAGTCAGAAGCACAGGAGGGTGAGAGAATTCACCAGAGCCAGAGCGGGGAGCAGAGCAGGCAGAAGGACCGAAGTACACTGCTGAGGGGAGCAGCGGGCGGCAGGAGAGGTCTGCGCGCCATGTGGGACCCTCCTCCGGTGGTAGGGGAGCAGCAGGGGATCGAACCGGCGCCGCAGAGGCCGCGGGCAGCTTCGCAACCCAACGCTCAACTGCTGCGCCACCGGGGAGGCCCTCTTATATATTCTTAACCAGTTTTAAACTCATAAGAATTTAATATTCCATCTAAAAATTAATGTCATTATGTAATTTTTTACAGGTATGGTGGTGAGAGGGGATCAGTGCTAAAACTGCCACATTTAATTTCCATTATGATTGTCCTTTTGTGACTGGCCAAAGTTGCATTTAGAGATAAACATGCATTAATATTATGTGCATAAGCAGAAAAGGTGAATACTAATGGGTTCTCAGCTTCAGGCAAAATGAGTATCAAATCTTACTACCTTGATGATATGAAACCTGCAGTGAACAATCATGTTTCATTAAGTTGCTCTACTCCTCACCAAATGAGCTCTCTATCCTGTCCTCTACATGCTCAACGAATGAATGATGGATGATGACTGGAGGCACTTGTCCTTTCTTTGCTGTGATAGAGTTCCTTGAAGGGAATGCAGGGACAGGGATGCTCGACAAATATCAACGTGGCCTTCATATTTTGGTACCTGATGTTATTGACAAGGATACTTTTTATTCTTTCAAAAACACTGAAAATAAAGAATATACCTAGACAAAGACATATTTTCAAAAATCCCCAATGCAGCCTACGAGATCCTGCATGAGCACTGTGTCTATCTCTCCTTGGTCTTTGCTTCCAGCCACTTTCCCTTTTGCTCGATGCACTCCACTCCAATTCCTTGAATGCTCTGGGGTGTTTGAGCATTTCTCTCCTTTATCTAGAAGATTCTCCCCTCTCTCCACTTGCGACTCCACAGTGTCACTAATTTCAGATATTTCCTTAAACATAGCTTACAGAGGGAAGGGCTTCTAACTCCCCAGACCTGATAGTGTCTGTTATAAACACCTAGAATTTTCTATAGCATTCATCTCCATTAAACCATTTCTCTAATAAGGTCACAAAGTAGCAGCCTACTGGCAAGAACCTGCTAAACTTGGCTCAGCTTTTGTAGTTTTAAAAAATCTGAACCACTGCTTACAACCGGGAGATTACACATAAATATTTTGGTAACCCTGGTTCATTTGTATTTATCCCTAAGTGAAAGCAAGAAACTCATCACTGAAAACCCAAAACACATCTCACTGCTCTTCTTGCCCACTTTCTACTTTACTTTCTCATCCTCATTCATTTCTAATTCCATCTTAGTGATAGCCAGAAAAACTATGAGAAAAGGTTTTAAAGAGTTGGTCTATTTTAGTACTTTGCTATTTTTCTGAGTTTTTATAACGTGATTCTTAATTGTTTCAGTATCAACATATTTGGATGCAATTTGAAGATAAAAATGGTCTCCACTGCTTATTATAGATCTGGCAGCCTGGCATATAGCTATGCTGCTCAAAAATATATATTGATTTCATGAAATATTACATGCTGTGCTAAATACTGAGAAAGATTGCATTACCAAGGTGATTTAAGTCAGAAGTGATGAATACCTTTTCCAAGCTTCTTAACACACTAATGCAGTATTTTCAGGAAGCAATAAAGTGCTCCCTAATAAGTATTTTCCATGTGTGGAAAATCCTATGTAAATTACGTAGGTAATACTAAAATGAAATCTTTCCAAATTTTATTTAAAACTCTTCCTTTCAATTAAGGTTCTGTAATAAAATATATATATCATGTTACAAAGTTTTTTTTTTAGCCAAATCTAATTTCTTCCTGAAAACATGATTTGAAATTTTTCATACGGCAAAGTTCCTTCACTATACTTAGTATTTCCTTCTGAAATATTATATATATATGTGTGTTTACAAACACACACACACATACACACACACACATTTCTTTCCCTTAATGTTAAAATTTTAACTATTCTAATCTCGGAGAATAAATTAAGTATTCTTCCACACAGATTGCCAGATTTCTATAGGTTCTCTGTGAAAAATTTCTTTTCTGCTTCTAAATATTCTTACCTTCTTAGAAACCCCTAAGACACATTTGTAATTATCTGACAGATATAGGTATGCTGTCTAGAATTTATTTCAACCATATATAATGACACAGACATTGAATTTTCAATTGCACAAAAGGGATGTATCAACAAAACAAAGAAAAAAAAGCATTAGTAAATAATCAGAACAACTTAATTAAATCAAGCCAACTGAGCAGATGGATAAATTCATTGTTTAAAGTATCTGTGGACAGTACTAGGATGGAAACACTACCCAGTTGGTAATCTTTTGAATAAAATAGTCTTTCATTTTATTTTCCCCAGTGGTTTTTCTAGTTATTTCTTTCTACAAAAAGTTCCGGTAGCTTAGTGGTTAAGGTCGTGGAATGCAGAGCCAGATCAGGTTTAGATCATGGTGTCTCCAGTTACAACTGTGTGACATCAGGGAACACCAAAAAAAAAAAAAAAAAAAAAAAAAAAAAGATAACTTGATTTCCATAAAGAATCTCCCAGAGAAAACTATTATTTGTTCATATAAGAAATATTTTACTGGGCCTCCCCGGTGGCACAGCAGTTGAGTGCTGGGTTGCGACGCTGCCCGCGGCCTCTGCAGCAACGGTTCGTTCCCCGGCTGCTCCCCGGCCGCCCCAGGAGGGTCCCACATGGCGCGCAGACCTCTCCTGCCGCCCGCTGCTCCCCTCAGCAGTGTACTTCGGTCCTTCTGCCTGCTCTGCTCCCTGCTCTGACTCTGGTGAATTCTCTCACCCTCCCGCACTTATGACTGTACCCAGTGCTTGTATAAATAAATAAATGAATAAATCTTTAAAAAAAAAAAAAAAAAGAAATATTTTACTTTCGGGCCTCCCTGGTGGCACAGTGGTTGAGCACTGGGTTGTGAAGCTGCCCACAGCCTCTGCAGCGCCAGTTCGAATCCCGGCCACTGGGTGAGGGTCCCATATGGGGTGCAGGAGGGTCCCTCCTGCTGCCTGCTGCTCCCCTCAGCAGTATACTTCGTCAGTCTGCCTGCTCTGCTCTCCTCTCTGACTCTGGTGAATTCTCTCACCCTCCCGCGCTTATGACTGTACCCAGTGCTTGTATAAATAAATAAATAAATAAATCTTTAAAAAAAAAAAAAGAAATATTTTACTTTAATTAAAGTTTGATAAATTAGGTGGAGATACCTTTAATTTGGAGACAAATAGAGAGGAGAAGTTTTAAATAAATCAAAGGATTTTTGTTATTATTTTCTTAGAAAGGATGATGATTTTCAACAACAGAGAGATGGCAGTGCTCCAGGCATAGATCACTCACTAAAAACAGAAATTGGAGTTGGCACCAAGTTTCTTATTCCCCTTGAGAATGCTTACTAAGTACATCATCTTAGGGTACCTTTCTTTTGATCTTTGTTTTCAGGTAAATTTACCTCTTGGATATATTTAAGTGCATTTATTATCAGCACTCACTTGTGCCTGCCTGAAAATATGGAGACCAGCCATAAACACAGCATAAGGAATACAGCCAGGGAATGCTGTGAACAAAGTACAGTTTTGTATTTGCAACACATTTTGGTTTCTGCAAAAATGTTAGTTTCATCTTTTTAGCCATCGTCAAACCATAGTCAAGCAGAGAACACAGCTGCATTACACATGTGCACACTTGCACACTGATCTAGACATGTCACTTGTGAATAGCTTAGCTTACTAACCTACATTGCACTGTGCATTTACTTGCGGTGGATTTGTCCTCCCAGAGGACACTGCTTCCTCTCCTCAAACTGCCAGATTGTTAGCAAGCAAGTATGGATAGAAGAGAGGAAAGTTTCTAGTGATTTGCATCTCTGGATAGAGATTCTCAAACACCTTCCCAAGTGGCTTCTATTTACTGTCTATCAGCTTAAGATAAATAAGCCTATCCCAAGCAAAAAGATGTAAATGTCATTTCCCAGCTCTTTTATCCTCTTGGTGGCATTGTTGACATGAAAGTTAACTGCACTGAGCTAGTATGACCCACTTTTGTATGTCGAATATGGTGACAGCAGAAGAAACAGGATACAAGGGAAAGAATTCAGAGAGGAGCGAAGAGGCTGAAGCAAGAGGTTCCAAAGTCTTGGATGATTATGCTTGCAAACTGTTAGACGAATGTCTCGCTATGTAATAATTAAATTTCACTGAATGACTCCATTTATTTATGTCCATACCTGGTAAATCAGAGAAGAGAAGAATGCACTCATTAAAGCCATTAGCCAAAAGCCGGTCCCGTAGCTGCTGAAGAATTGCCACTCCAATGCAGAAAGGGAAAGAGGAATTCCCAAGTAGCAAGGTATCCCAGAGGTGAAAGATTTTGTGCAAGGGAAATACATCTGCAAAATGATAAAATATTAATTATAATTAAAAAACAAAATAACATAAAGCAATAACCAACTGCTTTACTGACATATGATGATTACATTATGGTAAAAACTACTGTCTAAGGACAAATACACTAAACTGTTTTTTAAACTGTCTATTTGGATGTGTAGATTGATTGCTTCCTAAGTTACCTTAAAAGAATTGATAAGCATATTGGTCAAACAGGTGACATTTTCTATCTTCTATTCTCAACCTTGATATACAGTTGTTCTACTCACTGCATTTCTTCCTAGAACTTTTCAGTTACATTATTCTCATAAGCTACATTATTCTCAATAGATGAACTGCAATATTGTTTTGGATTTAGTATTATTTCATTATGTACCTTAAATAAATGCTATATTAAATGCCTATAAAAATCAATTAGCAATTTTGTATTTTTTGCAACTTTCTCTTTCATTTAACAATACTGTGGCCATCTTTCCAAGTCAGTGTACACAGATCTACTCTGAACATGACACTCCATTTATCAGATCATGATCATGTTCAAGCAAGATGTCCACTGTACTAACATTTGACACTGATTAAAGTATCACACTTTCATGTAATCTGATTGCTTTGTGGAGGAATTCTAGCTTAGGGAATAACAAAACTTAGTTATCAGACAATCTCTAAAAGTTAAGACTGATTTGGTTATAAATGTTGCTTTGCAAAATTTCTTGTAAATACTAGAAATACAAAAACATAAGAAATACAAAATTTCTTGTAAATAATGTTAATTTAGCAGCAGAAGGCAGAGATTTGATGAATGTCACTACATCTAAGACTGCTTCCATCATACACATTTAAAAAAAAAAAACACTCATCAGTCAGACAAGTACTGATAAATTATTTTTTACCCAACTCCATTATATTAGAATTATATAAGGTGCATATGTAATGAAATCTGCTTTATATTAATGTAAATATATTAATATAAATATATTAATATAAATATAACCAACTGGGGAAAAGGAGCTGCTATTTTGTTTGCACAATATTAAAAGAAAAAGGAAAATGATACTTACGAGTGAACATAGTGAGAAACCAAGGGATGGCATAGAGCTAGGAGTAGAAAAAGGGGTAGACGGGTTGGGTAAAGAGAAAAGAAAAGAGATGGTCAGAATAACTGCCAATACACTGAATAGTAAAAATATGTTCTATGTGTTGGTCTACCCCACTGATTAAAATGAAAGACAATGTAGATAGTTACATTATCACAAATATTCAAATAAATGTCTATTACAAATGCTACAGATGACCCTTTTGCTAAGGATTATTTCACAGATGTTTTCATTCCACTGAAGTATATACTCAACACCCATTCCTAATCCAAACACAATACTTGCTACTAATTTCCAGGGTGTACTTTTCAGTTCATACAAGAATATCCCTGAAATTTTATTTGTCCTCATAAATGTGGAGTTATCCTTATCCTTTGAAAACCAATCAGCAGGTACTTGAAAAAATATCATAAAAAGGTGTTATGAAGCATATGCTTTCTGCTACCACTTTCTAAATTAAGAGGAATATTCATATGAGACCAAAAGTGACATGATCTAGGAATGCAATAGCTTGATTCTTTAGCTGAGTGACAAATTTATTTTCCTAAATTTACTGTTTAGGAATGAAAACACACATACTTTCAATTAATTTCTTGAGAGTTTGAAAATTTTAAATCATTCTTAACTTCTAAAGGTAGAATAAAATCTCCTTTATCAATAGGAAGCAAAAACCAACAACAATTCATTAAAACATCTGAAAAAGCTCTAACTTTATTTTACTTCATACTATTGGTGTAAAAGTATTTTGAGTAATATGATTCTTCTTATTCATGAGCATGAATACCTTCCCTTCTCCTATGTCATCATCTAAATCCTTAACAAGGGGGGGCGGAGCAACATGGCGGCGAGGAGACGCTGCGAGTAAGATCTCCCATTAAAAAAAGTTAATAGGGAGGAAAAGCGGCAGGTCCCAGTGAGAACCGGGACACGGAAGATAAACGGGGGACGCCAGTAAACTGCCCGAAGAAGAAAGTGGCCATAAAAGAGGACCAGAAGGGAGGGAAGCGCAGAACCCTGCTCCCCTCCCCCGCCCACAGAGGCAGCACTCTCCGACCGGCAGAGAGGAGGGAAACAACAAACTAAAACGACCCACAAGAACAAACGACGCAGCAAGCGGGACTGTGAGTGGAAAGGAACTATTTCAGCCACCACACCCCGTGAACGGGAGCTGTGGAGAACCCCGCAGGATCCGCCGCGGAGGTGAGCAAACGGCTCCGGGCGCCATTGAAGAGAGACCCCGCCGCCGGGGAGGAGAACAGCACCAGCACACAGCCCCGGCCGCCCGGCAACCCGGAAAGGCGGCGCGCTGGAAAAACAGGCATGGATCGCGGTCAAGGGCGGATCGGAATCGGGATCGTGCGCGGAAAAGCAGTGCAGTTGAAAAGCAAACGCGGATCCAGATCGCAGCTGCCCAGGTCCCTGCGCCTGCGACCTAGGCTTGCGGGGAGACGCGCGGAGGCCCTCACTGAGTGAGCAGGCCCAGGCGCCCAGGCACGGGAGCGGGATTCAAAAGGCGCCATCCCCGCGCCACTGAACTGGGCTACAGCCTGAGTCCTGGAACTGAGGGCTTTGGAACTGACACCCAGGGCACGAAACTAGGGGCGTGGGTTCCCCACGATGGTGGGGCACAAGGCAGACACAGCACCCCAAAGCGGTTGAGGTTTACCCTACCATTCCCGCTCTATTCCCTGTCCCACGGGGTGGAAAATCAGCTCCCCAAGGGCTCCAGGAGAGATCTCTGGCGCCACCTAGCGACTTGAAGCCAGCAGAGGCGCCTAGAGGAGCCAGTGGCCAGCTGGGGAGTTAGCCCACGCCGGGCCCCTTCCGACCAGTAGTCTGAGCCCACAGGGGGAGCGAGCACCCACAGCCGGGGCAGACCAGGTGCGCAGAAGAGTGTGACTGAGACCGGACGCACAGGGAGTGTGTCCCACATCACCATCTTAGAACAGGGACATTTCTTCAGTAAAGACTACCTGCAGAAGGCTTCCTCAGGAGCCAGAGGTGAGCGGGGGAAGTTCGCCCACGCCAGACCCCCTCTGGCCTGCAGTCCAAGCCCAGAGGAGGAGCAGGAACCCACCACCGGGGCAGACCAGGCGCACAGGGGAGTGTGTCCCCACATCGGCATTTTAGAACAGGGACCTTTCTCCAGTAAAGACTGCTTGAAACTGACAGATGACTCCTGGAGGAACCAGAGGAGAGCAGAGAAGCTCACCCAAGATGCCGGCCAGTCCCAACTACACAGTGTCCCAACGCATACGGCAAATTAGAAAACAGACAGTAGGGAGTAGAAGAACCACACGCAACCTAGCAACTCCCCAGGGAAAAAGCACACCACAAAAAGAAAACCAGCCCCCAGATTGCAACGACAGTAACTTGGAAGAACTTCTGAGCCTTCCAGAAAGAGAATTTAAAATTGCCGTGATTAAAAAACTGACAGAAGTCATAAAGGAAAACAATGATAAGGGAAAAATAATCAACGATCAGAAGAATGCAATTGAGTCCCTAGAGAGGGAAAACAATGGTCAGAAGAATGAAATGGAGTCCCTAAAGAGGGAAGTAAAAGAAATGCAAGAGAGCAAAGAATTAATGGAAGAACTGAAGAATTCTGGGAAAAGCAATGAAAGCAGAATAGATGAAATGGAAGAACGAATAAGTACTATGGAAGACACAGAAATAAAAAGAACCAAAACAGAAAAGGAAAGAGAAGTACGAAGGAAAAAGAACGAAGAAAGACTTTGGGAACTATCTGACTCCATGAGGAAAGGAAATATAAGAGTTATAGGAATACCAGAAGGAGAGGAGAGAGATGTAGGAACAGAGAAAATATTCAAAGAGATAATTGAAGAGAACTTCCCAAATGTGAAGAAGGAGCTGAAAATTGATATACAAGAAGCAAGAAGAACACCAAACTTCCACGACGAAAGGAAAAATACAGCAAGACACATAATAGTAAAGCTCCCAAGAATCCAGGACAAGGAAAAAATAATGAAGCTGGCAAGAGGGAAGAAACAGATAACATTCAAAGGAAAGCCAATCAGGCTGACATCAGACTTCTCCGAAGAAACACTACGGGCAAGGAGAGAATGGAGGGACATAGTCAACAGACTCCAAGAAAACAGATGCCAACCAAGAATTCTCTATCCCGCAAAGCTCTCCTTTCTCTTTGAAGAAAGAATATGGACCTTCCCAGACAAACAGAAACTCCAGAATTTCATTGCAACTAAACCCCCACTCCAAAAAATACTACAAGGAGTCCTAAAGCCAGAACCTCAGAGGGACGAATAACAATGAAAGAAGGCCAAAAAAAAAAAAAGTTATTAAAAGAATAAATAAATAAAATCAAAGGAAAGACAAACACAATGGCAAATACAGATGCTAACATATCAATATTAACTCTAAATGTAAATGGACTAAACTCTTCAATAAAAAGACACAGAGTTGCAGCCTGGATTAAGAAACAAAACCCAACCTTTTGCTGTCTCCAGGAAACACATTTAGCTACAAAAGATAAAAATAGGCTCAAAGTTAAAGGATGGAAAACAATCCTACAAGCAAATGGACCAAAAAAGAAAGCAGGAACAGCTATACTTATATCAGATAAAACAGATTTCAAACTCAAAAAGATAAAAAGAGACCCCAATGGTCACTACATTATGATCAAGGGGACAATACTTCAAGAAGAAATAACACTCATTAACATATACTCACCAAACGAAGGAGCACCAAAATATATCAGACAACTGTTATCCTCTCTGAAAACAGACATCAGAGAAAACACATACGTAGTGGGAGACTTCAACACACCACTATCAACAATGGATAGATCAACAAGACAAAAAATAAGTAAAGAAACCAAAGCTCTAAATAAGGACCTAGAGCAATTGGGCTTAACAGACATCTATAGAACACTAAACCCCAAAAAAACGGAGTACACATTCTTCTCAAGCGCACACGGATCATTCTCCAGGATCGATCACATACTGGGGCACAAGACAAACATCAACAGATACACCAAGATTGAAATCATATCAACCATCTTTTCTGACCATGAAGGCATCAAACTAGAAATAAACCATAAAAAGAAGGCAAGGAACTTTCCTACCTCATGGAGATTAAAAACCACACTACTGGAAGACCACTGGACTAATGAGGAGATCAAACAAGAAATTAAAAAATTCTTTGAATTGAACAAGGAGGACACCAATATCCTAAATGTATGGGATGCAGCAAAAGCAGTAATAAGAGGAAAATATATAGCAATAGAAGCTCACATCAAGAAACAAGAAAGAACTCAAAGAAACAACCTAATCTCGAAGCTCAAAGATCTAGAAAAAGAACAACAAAAAAACCCCAAAACCAGTAGAAGAAAAGAAATAATAAAAACAAAAGCAGAAATAAATGAAATTGAAACTAAAAAAACAATCCAAAAGATCAATGAAACCAAGAGCTGGTTCTTTGAAAAAATCAATAAAATAGACAAACCCCTAGCCAGGCTCACAAAGGAAAAAAGGGAGAAAGCACAAATACACAGGATCATCAATGAAAGAGGAGAAATCACAACGGACACAGCAGAATCAAAAGAATAATCAGTAACTACTATGAACAGTTATATGGAAACAAGTTTAACAATCTAGAGGAGATGGACAAATTCCTACAACTCTACAATCACCCAAAGCTAGATAAAGAAGAAATAGAATACCTAAACAGACCAATTACAAGCAGCGAAATTGAAATGGTAATCAAAAACCTCCCCAAAAACAAAAGCCCAGGACCTGATGGATTTACAAATGAATTCTACCAAAGATTCAGAGACGAATTAGTGCCTATCCTTCACAAACTCTTCCAAAAAATTGAGAAGGAAGGGACAATACCAAACACGTTCTATGAAGCCAACATTACACTAATACCAAAACCAAACAAGGACAACACAAAAAAGGAAAACTACAGGCCAATCTCCCTAATGAACACTGATGCAAAAATCCTCAATAAAATTTTAGCTAT